GGAGAGGAAGATAACTTTTTAGACTAGGAAAAAATAGAATACTTGAATGTAACTTTGATTAAATTCTGTATTTTTTTGTAAAAATTTGAAGACGTATTAATTAACTTCGACCCTTTTTCTTTTAATCCAGTATAGGTTTTCATGCCGCCCGTAACCGCCCGAGAACAACTATTTTCAATTTTAAAATGTTTCAACTACAATTTTTTTTTTAATAAAACATAACAGTCATTTTTAAACAAACTGCATAGTATTGTAATAAAATGGTAAATTTGTGGAAACTTTAAGATCTACCATTAAAATAATGTCAAGCTATTATAAATAATCTTTTTGTTGATTTAAAATTGTGTAAATAAATAATAAAATACAAATCGTCTTAAATGAAGTTAAAGAATAAAGATTTCATTTCTTTTGTGACGGGTGATGCTTTTAAAATGTCAGAATGTTAAAATTTTTGGAGAAGAAAAATGTTATGAAAATTGAATGTGCTCAGGAAAAAAAATTTGTAAAACAAATTATTAACATTAAAAACCACGTACAAACAAAAAATGGAGAATGTTCAATACTCCAAGTATAAATTTCATAGAAATTCGTTTTCCTGGTTAGAATGTAATTTTAATTTTAACTTATCTCGAAACTCTCAAACGTATTAGAATTGCTAAAATTAAAGAGATGACGGCATACATTGTCATTTAAAGACAAAGGAAAGCGAGCTAAAAGAATAGCAATTTTTTATCTGTCTGAAAAAGTTGAATATGATACAAAGTATATACTTGAAACAGCAAGATACACAGCCAAACAAATAGGTAATAAGAACTTAGTAAAAATTATCATGTACATTTTGCAAGATCAAACATTGGGGTATAATATCAATAAAAACAACAACAAAGAAATAAAAAAATGTCTCCAGAAGAGGGACTTGCTTTTGTATTAATTTATGGTTTAACTAAATCTCAGTACATGGCAAGAAGATTGGAAATTAAAGAGAGAGGTGCAGATATTAATCCGTTTTACAGTGATATTCTGGAATCTAAAATTAACTGTAGACCAAATATTATTCACATCTCTGAAAAAGAGGAAAATGTGTCATTACAAAAACTTTTAATACTTATTGATCAAAGAATAACAGAATCACAAGAGGCGCAATTTTTATCTAAAATTAGTAGTAAATAAAAGGACTCAATTGAGTTGATTTTTGTTGTAAATTAGGAATTTGATGGAACCATTAATTTTTCTTAATTCAATCAAAAGTTCGATGAGTTAATTAAAAGTTTATCAGACAATTTGCTTGTTTCTGTTACAATTGTACCCTTAAGACGTCAAACATATGACTGAGATGTGTTTTGGGCAAATCCATCTCCTAATTCTGTTAAATTTTGCAGACCAATGATATTAAAGTATGCTAAAGAAAATAAAGACCTTATTCTGAAAACTAAATTTTATGTTGAACAACAAATAAATGAACTTTTATATATTATAACATGGCTACCCAATGGAAGAGTTCTTAATATTAAAAGCTCTTTATTTTTAACAGCCATCGATAGGAAATTTTTAGCGGAAATCACCGAAACGCCGTCTTATAAATTGTGCCTGCTTTGCAAAGCAATACCTACTAAAATTAGGTGTATTAAAAATTATCTAAACAAATTATTTAAGCCTGAGAAAGCACTTTTACTCTTTGGGATAAGTCCACTTCATTGCTAGATCCGTTTCATAAAATATCTCCTTCCTTTGTCGTATAAATCAAATATTAAGCAATGGCAGAAAAAAGGAAAAATTAATAAAGATTATGCAAAAGCTTAAAAAAGTCTTATACAAAAAGGATTTTCGGGAAAATTAAATTTACACGTAGACACATCATAAATAGGTGGCACTAGTATATCTAATAATGGCAAAACTGCACAGTGAGCTTTTTCTGATCCAACATTGTTATCAGAAGATTTTGATAGAGATATAAATCTTATTGTCCATTTAAGAACAACACTACTATGTTTGTCTTGTCAAGTTCCAATTGATCCAATCAAATTTGAAAGTTATTGTCTACAAACAGTTTTAATTATTAGACAAATAATCATGGTATAAAATTATTCCTTGTTTTTATTAAGTTTTAGCTTATGGAGCTCAAACCATGGTTTAATTTATTTTGCCAATTAAAACTTTTGGCAAAAATGCTGGAGAAAGTCTTCACTACGTCACTGAAAAAATCGTAAAAATCATGCAAGAAAAACCTCAAGATTTAACAACTTAACTGATGTTTTTTGTTTAAGGTTTAAAATAATCAGATCCTTATATTTCCGGTATTATTTTGAAAAGTTTGAAGTCTGTATGTAAATTAGTAATACCAGAAGAGGTGTTGGAACTTTTACTGATTGAAACAAGACACAAGACGTAAGGATGTTAATGTAGAGATTTTGCTTGAACTAATTGATGTTTATTGACAATTAGATTGCGTTGATATAAAAGTTGATAGCAATTTATCCGATAGCGAATAAATACTTAGCTATAATTATGAAATTTACTTTTAGTTAAAATAATTTGAAACTGTTATTATTAAATGATAGTTCTTCTATTTTGCATACTTTTTCTTATTCCGCAAGCCCCCTTATTTGGAGAAAACCTCTTTTTGTATTTAAAAAAAAAAATACAAAAGAGGTTTTATTTTTTTGATTTTATCTTTAATCTAATATTTTTATTTAATGTATGTTAATGAATATATTAAAAAACAAAATTGGGGCGTGACTAAAAGAGACTGTCATGTTTTATGTAGGAAAAAAAAATTTAACTAAAAATATTTTAAAGTTGGAAATAGTTGTTCTTAAGCGGATCGGAGGGGCATCAAAACCTGTATTGGATTAAAAGAAGAAGGGTCAAAGTTTATTCAGATTTTTACAGAAACATTCAGAATTTAATTAAAATCACATTCAAGTGTGTTAATACTACCTAGTCTAAAATTTAAACTCTGAAAACCCGTTTAATATTCATCCTATCAATATATAACATATGGAAGTTCACAGGTGTGGTTTATGAAATAAAATAACAGCTCGAAATTATTGCTTTTCAACTAAATAATTGTTTTTTAAAAAATGGCAACTTTGAGCATCTGCGGGGAAAATGGTCTAAAAAGAAAAATTCTATCAGAACATGAAAATATGACAAATTTGCAACAAACTTGCATTAGCAAATCTGGAATTAATGCCACTTTTTGCTTATTTCAAACCACTGTTCAAGATAATAATGATTGTCTTTTTATTGTCTGTAGTTTTCGAACAAATATGTCAGATTTCAAAAATTGTTTTATAAGGTTTTTACTGCTTTGCAACAATAACATTGTAAATTATTTTTACTTATGAATCACCACAGAAGTAAATAACCGCTGTTGAGTTATGAATGTTAAAATGTAGATCTCTGCGTCCTCTACCGTCTACCAAATTACAAGTGTAGGAGATACCCATTTTAAGTTATTAAAGTGTATTCTGTTTTTAAATATTTGAATTTGTATACGAGTTTAAACTTTTAAAAACGTTCATCTCAACTGTCTAAAATGTATCTATAATGTTTTAGAATTAACCCATAATAATTCATATAAGAATGCATTTGATCTGAATTTTAAGGTAGGGGAGACCGGGACTAGTTGGCAGCAGGGGTAAGTTGACGAATTGCGTTTATCTGCAAAGTCATCAAAAAGTGCCAATAATTTTAGGAAACCTTCTTAGTTAACCATTTCATCTTTCACTGTAGTATTGTAAGGATTTGCGCATGCGCATAAAAGATATTGTGATTTATGTTTTTTCCACATTTTTGTAAATTTTACAACTTCTTTATTTTTTCGATTTTTAAAAGCAATTTCACGTAAACTTTATTTGAGTTATATCTTGCATGGTTCAGTAAAATCTGTCCAACCATTATTTTTTATTTATACACGTTTTTCAGGGATCGTACGTTTTTCAGGGATCGGAGAGTTTGTGACCAAATAGCTGTCGGGGTTAGTTGGCAAAATTTGGGCGGGGCAAATTGGCCGTATATATCAACTAAACCCGGTTGCGATTGGACATAAATTTCAACTTTTTCTATAACTTTTGATTTATTTTTTTAAAAATCGATTAGGTACATAGATCACATATATTACATGCGAAACTATAAAAGATATTAGTATGTGTCATAACACATACTAATTTTATATTAACATAGAGTTATAGAGTTGAGAGAGGGTTATAGCCACAAATAAGTAGCCTCCTCGTCTGTAGTGGCCTTCTCGGCCTTGAGGAGGTGAATTAAAATAAAAAAATAAACAAAAAAAAAAATGTATATATATATATATATATATATATATATATATATATATATATATATATATATATATATATATATATATATATATATGTATATATATATGTGTGTGTGTGTTATTACACATACTAACACTAATGTGTATGTGTTTACACGCACACACACACACACACAGTTATAAAATATAACTGCTATATTATTTAACACATAGTGTAATGTGTGTGTGTTTGTGTGTGTGTCTGTGTGTGTAAACACATACACAAACACACACACAAACACACACACACATTACACTATGTGTTAATGTGTGTGTGTTGTGTGTGTGTGTGTGTGTGTGTGTCTGTCTGTGTGTGTGCATATATATATATATAGTGTTATTTGTTTTAATATTTACAAGAAGGTCTGTAGAAACATATGGGACTAGAGCTTCTGATATTTATTATGGACTTTCTCCTAAGGAAGTGAGGAAACTAGCTTATCAGTATGGAAAAGCAAATAGCATAAAAATGCCTCATAATTGGAGTGCAAATAAAGCAGCTGGAAAAGACTGGTTTAGTGCTTACCTCACAAGGCACAAAAAGCTGTCAATAAGAAAACCTGAGGCAACAAGTCAAGCACGTGTTTCCAGTTTTAATCCAACAAATGTTCAAAAGTTTTACAACAATTGACAAACTATTCTTAATCGTTTAAAGTTGGAAAGTGGAGATATTTGGAATATGGATGAAACTGGTATTACCACAGTTCAAACTCCAGATCATATTGTAGCAAGAAAGGGTTTTAAACAAATTGGGCGTGTTACTTCGGCTGAGAGAGGCAATTTAGTAACTGTGGCAGTTGCTTTTTCTGCCGGTGGAAATTTAATTCCTCCATTTTTCGTATTTCCTCACGTGAAATTTAAAAGCTATTTTTTAAATGGTGCAACTGATGGAAGTGCAGGCGCTGCAAACCCATCTGGTTGGATGACTGAAATTCAATTTTTGCAGTTTTCCCATCATTTTGTCAAATATGCCAGAAGTACAAAAGAACGACCTGTTTTGTTGCTATTAGACAATCATGACTCTCATCTTTCAGTAGAGGCTTTAGATTACTTTAAAGAATATGGGGTATCGGTTTGTTCATTTCCTCCTCATTGCAGCCATAAAATTCAACTTCTACATCGAAGTGTATTTGGACCATTTAAAAAATACACAAACACAGCTTGCGATGCGTGGATGACAATGCACCCTGGTTCCACAATGTCTATTTACAGTATACCAGGTATCGTGGGTAACTTATTTCCATTAGCATGTACCCCTAATAATATCAAGGTTGGTTTTGCAAAAACAGGAATTTACCCACTAAATGTTAACATGTTTGGTGAACACAATTTTATGCCAGCCTATACCACAAATAGACCACCTCCGAAACAAGACTGTGCTGTGGAAAGTACAGTGCTAAATATAAGTAATGTAACGGATATTGACTTTACAATATCTGAGAATAACATGTTAAATGCTGGTTGCTCAAAAGATATAGAACCACGTCAAGATATTTCATATTCAAGCAGTAATGATGTACACAGTGCATCTACAGAGTCAACTGTAGTTCTATCGCCTGAAGATTTAAGACCATTCAAAAAAGCTTAACCAAGAAAAAGAGTTAGGGCTAATAAAACAAGAAGAACCACATCAATTTTAATACATTCATTAAATATGATTGTTTTAAAAATAGAGAAAGAATCAGCTAAAAAGAAAAAGTTAGCATTTGAAGAGAGAAAACAAGCAAAAAAGTTAAATGAAGATAATATTAAGATGAGTAAAAAATCAAATAGTAAAGGAAGTTTACACTTAATGGAGAAAAGTTTGAATTGTCCAAATAGCTCTGTTGAAGAGGAGTGTTTTTGTTTGGTTTGTGTTGGAATGTTTTCTAAAAGTACACCAGAGGAAGTTTGGGTTCAATGCACCGAATGTCACCTTTGGGCTCACGAGTCATTTTTATCGGAAATTTTTTTTTTCATTTGCAATAATTGCTGCTAGCCGATTTGAAACTCCATTAAATAAAAATATTCAAGTAATTAAACAATATAAGTTTTAATTTTTATTGTATAACCATAAATTGGGAACACTGTTTTGTTTTGTCATTGTATTTTTTAATTATATTTACTTTCTATTGCTTATTTCTATTGATCCAAAAGTTTGATGATATTGATAAAAGTATATTTCAGCTATGAATCCTTTAAAAAAAGGGGCGGGGGGTTAAAAGATTATTGGAATTTACTTAAATAGGACCTTTAACTTTAGCTTTTATTATTGCGAGTCAACTTACCCCTTGAGTATATATATATATATATATATATATATATATATATATATATATATATATATATATATATATATATATATATATATATATATATTGGTAAGTTGGCGCAATTTTATTTTTATTTCTACAAATACTAAAATGGTCACTTTCTCTTAATATATATACTAATATACATATAAGTTGTTTATATATATATATATATATATATATACATATATATATATATATATATATATATATATATATATATATATATATATATATATATATATATATATATATATATATACTAATATATATACTAATATATATATATAAGTTGCTTACCCCAGGGTGGGGTAAGTTGACGCAATTTTATTTTTATTTTTGAGGGCCCAGAAAGGCCCCAAAATATTTTTTTGTAAATAAATGCAACTTTTATAAGTTACCCAAATTCATACTCTTCGAAACTACACTTTTATATTTTCAAAAAAATGTTCCGTTAGGACTACAGAGCTCATAGAATAACAAACGGATTCAACTAGTCCCGGTCTCCCCAACCAATAGGTATATGTATATATATATATATATATATATATATATATATATATATATATATATATATATATATATATATATATATATATATATATATATATATATATATATATATATATATATATATATATATATATATATATATATATATATATATATATATATATATATATATATATATATAATATATACATATAAATATTTTATTTGCTTCATTGATGAACGTAGGTAGGTTTTAATTTACTTCAATTTGATAAAACTAATTTCACTGCTAGCCAGTGTAATTGAAATCGTCAGCAATATACGTAGTGCTATCCACAGATTAGAAAATTGGCTTTTCTGTCAATATTTTATTTATATTGAGTGCTTCCATTGAAAATAGTGTTTTTTTGGTCGCCTTCTGCTTCTGGTTACTCCCTTTGTCAAAAACAGTAGATATCAAACAGTCAGGCATTTTTGTAACATTTTTTAATACTCTATAAGTATGTCCTTTGATGGTAGTTTTTTAGGTAAACTATGAAGGCCCACTTTGACTCGTATTTGAAGAACTTGTTCATTCTGTCTTCTAAAGATGATTCACTCGTGTAAATTAGGGGCAAAAAAACATTATTTTTGAAAGACTCTTTTGTGCTAAGAAAGTAGCCAACGCTTGATTGATTCAGGAAAGGTTGTTTTTCTTTCTTATTCCTGATTCTATTTTTATATCTAAGTATCTCGAATCCGTCCATATATAGAACACTGTTGCCATATCTTGGGCGGATCATCCAATGATGTCTTTCCTCTTTTAGACAAGGTGCAAAAGCGTATGGTAAACATAGTTAAACCTGCTCTTGTAGCCAACATCCAACCATAATCACATCGCCGTAATGTTGCTAACCTTTCTTTTTTCTACAAATACTAAAATGGTCACTTTCTCTTAATATATATGTAAAAATTATTTATGTATAAATTTTTACAGAGGTTAATTATAAATGGAGGGCTGATTCATATAATTTGCAATCTTTCAAGCCGTCTGTCAATCATTATCTTGCTCTAAAAACTTCATCTTTTCTCCTCCAGTAACTTCCAACTCTAATAGAGGTTGCTTGCAGCCTTGTTTGAAGCAAAGATGTTGAAAAAAAAAAAAAAAAAATTAGAAGGTTAAATGAACTTTACTAGTCGACTCATCACACACTTCATATCCAATATAGCTTTCTTGAATTATGCCTATTGCTTTACTTTTTTCATAAACATAGCGGTTGGTTAAAGAAGTTTGGTCTTTGTGACTAAGGACTAAGGTCTGGAGTGCAATCCATAATAACTAAAAAATATTTTCGATACTATACCACGTTCACAATAGTTCTTTTACATGCAAAGCTAATAGGTTAATGAACTCGTTTTAAATATTGACACTTGGCAATTGTGAACGTCTTTCTCAATCTTCAACTTGTCGTAAATGCCCCATCAAAATTGAATCAGTTATGGATTGAAATTAACCAAGTAATCAAATAAGCGCAAAGAAGTTCCCATTATTTTTGATTTACAGTTTTAATGAGCTTCCACGGAATGCAATATTATGCCTGCCAAGTACATAATTATTGACACTATTTTCTTAAGAATGCTTCTCCACCATTCTGTTTTATTAATTCTTTGTTGGATAAGACCTTGATTGACAGCTTGTTCATTTTTTATTCTGATTGTTGCTTCGATCCATTTCTCATAACAACTGAAAAAAGATGAAGATGTCTCTTTTAGGTTTGCTCTGTGAATTTTTTCCAGTTTTTGAACTCTTCATTTTTCCCAAAATATGATTTTGGAGTTCGGTCAAACAGATGAAAAGGAAGACATTAAACGGAACCAGTTTCTGGACAGTATATAAGCCATCTCTTCTTACTAGTTAATCATTTCTTGCTTCCCTGTATAGAAATTCACTTAAGAAATAATATTTTTTGGTTTTAGGATTTTCTTTATTGCTCTTCAGAAAAGGTATTGCATTCATTTTGATGATGCAGACTTTTTCTCTTGCAGTCAGTATTTCCGGCCTTGTGGATTGGTCATTCGATAAGAACCTTCAAGCGTCACTTCTGTGCAACAAATTTTTTGTAATTGTAAAACTATCATCTGTTTCAACCATTAAAGGCTTTAAATTACCTTCAGGCAATTTCTTTTTCTTTAATGCTTCTGAAGACTTTTTTTGGCTACAAATGTCGAAGGATGAAGTTAATGAACATATGGCAAAAATAGCTAAAGAAGTTGAACTACACAACAGAGAGATTAAGACAGAGTGGAGGTATTACTAGATGTTTTTAAGGAGTTTTCACCACACAAAATGTTTGATTCATAAGGTTGTGAAAAACTAGGAGAATGAAAAGAATGTGTTCGTTTCGGCACTTTACTTAAAACAGCTTTGTGGGCTGCGTCAGAATTCTTGGCTAATTTTTTCTTTGAGAACCTGACAGTTTTTTTAATATTTTCAACAAAAAAATATTTAAATTCAAATTACCAGTGTAAAACTTTATTTTAGTTTCTTTCAAAATTCTTCATAATGTAAGTTTTTTAAATCAACATTAAGATCACAACTGATTACAGTTTTAAATTAAAAAAATCGTTGAAAATGCATTGAAAAAACTTTTAGCTAAAAAAGTTTTTTTAATATATTTTATTTTATTATATTTAAAACATTTTTTTTAAATATATTAATATGAAATATTGATATATTTAAAGAAACTTTTAAAAAGCAACGTTTTTGAAATAAGCTATAAAGTAAAAAATAAACTTTTTTTCGGGATCTAAGGTCTTTGTGAACGTACTCTACTTGAAATACCCATTAAAGTTAATGACTAAAAATGTTGGGCGCCTAAAGTTTTAAATGGTAAAGATATCTTTACCATCTTAAGTTATGAAAAAAAATCCATAAATACACACACACATATATATATATATATATAATATATATATATATATATATATATATATATATATATATATATATATATATATAATTTCTTCAAAACTATTTGTTTGAAAACTTATTGAGGGGAGGAGGGCAAATGCCTCTTATCCCTGTTGCTATGGGCCTGTATTTGCTTTTTACATAATGAAACCCATAAAGGTTTTACAGATGCGCATGTATTTAATATACATAAAAGCTTGTGATTGTACGTGCATTATTATCAAATGCGAAATACATTTAACTTAGTAATAACATTTCTTTAGCCCGGAATACAAGTGTTGTATACGACACTGTGTTTAAATTGGGAAATTTGCATTCAAAGTTTAAAGTACAAAATCTCTTTATGTAAATTTAATTACATGTTAAAATTTAACAATATTGGCTAAAATCAATATAAGTTTTTGTTCAAAATGTTAAAAAAAAAAAAAAAAAAAAACTTTCCTCGTAATTTGTCGTATTTGAAAAACGTAGAGAACTGTTTTTCAAATACGACAAATGTATTTTGAAATCAAAACATTTTGTCAGAATACTATCTTCATAGATGCAATCAATTTGATGGTAGGTGAATTAAGGTTAAATTTACTTATGTTGTTACTAACAATGACTTTAAAATAATTTTAGTTTTACTGTCCTTAGGGGCTGTCCATTAATTACGTCAACAAATTTTTTGAAATTTTTGTCTCCCCCCTCCCCCTTGTCAACAGTTTGTCAAATTTCCAAAGACCTCCCTTTAAAATTACGTCTTTTTTTGATTAACCCCTCCCTATACAAAGAAACTACGCTTCAAAATTTCCGTTATTTAAGCAATGAAATTCAAAAAAAAAAATTGTTGACATCAACTTTAATTGACCTCCA